CTTATCCTCCAAGGGCATGGGACTCATGCCCCCACACACATGCAGGGAAAATGATATGTAACTTAAGAAAATAAAAAATAAATCTTAAAACAACAAACAAATAACTTTTGCAGTTTGAGAAGCCACGGCTCTCCTCCATATTGACCCTAGTATAGCTGGCACTGCATCTCTTGCGGCCCACACAGAATTCCATATGTGACCCCTAATCGCCAACAGTTCTGGACAATGGCCAGCGTCACTCAAACTGTACGTACCCTACCTCCGATGGCATCTAGAAGCCACGTGGTTCCAACTTCCTCTCGCTTTAGGTTTCCTGTTCATCTGCCAGGGTGAATGTGACTGGTGGGTAGAAGCAGGTGTGCGTTCTGTCTGTGAGGGAAGCTGGGAAGGTGAGCACTTCCTGTGGGTCTGTGAGGGAAGCTGGGAAGGTGAGCACTTCCTGTGGGTCTGTGAGGGAAGCTGGGAAGGTGAGCACTTCCTCTGGTACCGTTATGAATGGCAGCCCAGCAGCCGGCTCACACCCGTAGCCTTGTAGTCTCTCTGCTCCGGAGATTGGCAGTCCAGAATCGAGGTGCCTGAAGGGCTGTGTCCCAAAGCATTCCGAGAAGGACATTCCTTTTCTCTTGTCTTTGTTGGTGATGGCCAGCATTCTCGTCTTCACAACACTCTAGTCCCCACCCTGGCCTGACGTGGCCTCGTCCTCCATTTACCTCTGCTCTGTGTGTCTCTTGTGGCCTCACTTGTTCCTGGGATCAGGGGACAACACAGGGTGATTTCATCTTGAGATCCAAAATTCCATTACATCTCTAAACTTTCTTTTCCAAATAACGCTGTGTTTCTAGGTCCCAGGCATGAAGAGGGGACGTGGCTCTTGGGGACTGCCATCCAGCCAAGTGTCTGTAACTGCCACAGTGAGCACGGAACTCTTCATCAGAAGGACAGTTCATCCGTGATAGGAAAGGGCCCCCCAGGCATGGGAGGCCTTCCAGAACTGCCGTGGTAAACTGTGTGGGCAGCGGAAAGCAGGGACATACTTCTGACTTGGAGGGTGTCGCTGTCTGTGGTAGCTACTGTTGAACTTGACAGGATCTAGGATCGTGGAGAACTGAGCCTCTGGACTTAATGGAGATTCTCTGGGCAGGTCTGTGAAGAGCTGTCTAGAATAGGGTCATTGTGGTGGGAAGACCTGTCTTCAAGGCGAGCCGCACCTCAGCGTGGGCTAGGCTCCTGGACTAGATGAAAAGAAGGATGCTAACTGAACGCCAGCACCTCTCTCTCTGCCACCTGCCAGTGAACACAGTGTGACCAGTTGTTTCACGCGACTGCCACCGTGACTTCCCACCACAACGAACTTTAACCCTGGAACTGTGAGCCAGAATCAACCTTTCCATCCCTAAGTTGCCTTTTTTGTCACACAATTAGATAAGTAACTAATACACAGTGCTGGTATGAAGACAGCCATAGACAAGTAAATGAATGGGCACAGCTGTGCACCAATAAAACTTTATTTACAAAAGTGAATGCTGGTGTGTGACTTTTCCTAGGGACTCATAAGCAAACATCTGTTTACCTCAGACAGGGCACTCACTACCCCAGAAATGATTCCCCCAAGTCCAGCTTGGTGAATTGATAAGTGTGTTGGGGTTGCCAACAGGAGCACAGGTGACTGACAGCTTCTACCGGAAGCCCCACCCAGCATGGGTGACTCTCAAAAGCTGCAGCTCTGGAACTCTCTGCTCCCCTTACAGGCAACCCCACCAGAGGGGCCTCTTCCCTGCAGAGCGGACCTTTCAACTCAGAGGAAACAGGTACAGGGTAATGACCATCAGGACTCAGCAGCACAGGCTGGAGATGGTAGGAGCGTGAAGGAGCCAGTGCAGCCGGTCACAAGCACTAAGTGCGGACAGCCTGGATCTTCAGAGTTAGTGTTTTTGAAATGTTCTGAATGTAGAGAAACGGCCTGTTTCCTGTTGCGGGGAGAGGGAGAGGGAGAAAGAGAAGAAGAGAAAAAGGGAGGGAGGGAGGGAGCGAGCGAGAGAGAGAGAGCGCTAGACATCACTGCCAAAGAACAGAGTTCCCCCTTGCTCTTCTGGAGGCTGCAAAGTCCAAAGTTTAAGGAGCCCTGTGTCCCTGTGTCTGTTAGGGACTACTTTTCTTGACAGGAGGAGGAAGGGCTGGGCGCCCGTGAGGAAGATGGTGGGGTGCGCCGGAAGATGGTGGGGTGCGCTCAAATTCACAGTTCTTTATTTTCATCGTCATCATCATCCTTGGTTTTCCCAGACAGGGTTTCTCTGTGTAGTCCTGAATGTGCTGGAACTTACTCTGTAGACTAGAGATCCACCTGCCTCTGCTGCCTGAGGTGTGCGCCACCATATCCAGTTATCCAGTTCTAGCCCTTTAATAATGCATGCTAATGGTAATGTATGCAAAATGGTATAATGCATATAAAATGGTGGCACCCTCTCTCCTAAACCTCCCGCCACCCGGCCCCTTTCAAAAGTTTTGGAAACAGATTTTGTTTTCAACTGTCTTCAAACCCACCACCACCAGGCTGGGGGCATGGTTCAGGGTGCCTATCCAGCTCTGGACTCTTGTCTCCCAGTCCGCAGCAAAACCGAAAGCTCCAGTTCCGGGGAAATGTCAGAAACCATGATTTTTCTTACAAGAGGAGCCATGGCTGCTATACAGGGTCCAGTCTGGAACTGGCCGAGATTAGCTTCTCCTGCCGCGGCGCCAGGTCCTCTCCTCATTCTTGGAGAGTTAACTCGTCATTTGGACGGAACTCAAAGCGAAGCAGAGCCAGAACTGACAAATGCAAGAAGAGATGGAGCTAGCTGGGGTCGCCCAGGTTGATGGGACACGTGAATGCAAAACGGAAACAATGGGGGGGGGGACGGCGCGCGCGCGGTGGGGGGGGGGACGGTACCGCCTGGAACCTGACTGGGATGGAGCTTGCCTACACAGAAACTCCCAAGGAGCCCCGAGTGTCCTGTCCCAACGTTGCTTGGACTCAGGCCACAGAGGGAGGCCTACTTGGTCAGGAGGAGTTCAGGAGTAGCTGCAAGCCTCCCTGTCTTGTAACCCTCATTCATTCTCGTACATGTATTACATGAGAGCCAGCACTGCTTCTCAACCTGTGGGGTCGTGAGGGGTCAAAATAGCCTGCACGTCAGATATTTACATTACAATTCATAACAGTAACAAAAATGCAGCTCTGAAGTAGCAACGAAATCATGTTATGGTTGGGGTCACCACAAACAGGAGGAACTGTATTAAGGAGTGGCAGGCAGCCTTTGGAAGGTTGAGAACCCCTGGTTTCGAAAAAGGCAATGTGTTCCCTGCAAAAGGCACTACTAGAGTTAAGCAGTGTGCAGCCTATAGGACCATAAGGCAACTTCACTTTATATAAGGAAAATAAAGGAGGTGAATTATTATATACCTAATACCCGGCAGACACTTGATCCGGATCACCAACGAGATGAAGGAGCAAAGAGGAACTTACAGGCTCAAGGAACATTTGACACTAAAGTAGAGGGGTAGAGAGTTTTGCTTTAACCAGGGAAGGAGAGAGGAAGGCTAGGGGCAAAGAGGCTGAAGGCTTTGGGGGAGGGGTGCTGATTCTCCAGGACTCCAGCCTGCGAGCGAAGATCCCTCCGGGCTTATGGGGGTGGTTGTAGCGAGCGTTTGGGAATGTCAGACATTCCATCCCTCTGAATGGGCCTCAGGGCCTCAGCCTGAGGGACAGAATTGAGAAAGAACTTCCCCCGCTTTGGCCCGGCAGCCCCAGCCTTCCCCGACCCTCCCACCCCACCCCCCAGCCTGGAGGCTGTGTGTTTTACCTGTTAGACACTTAACCTCTCTGCGCAGGGGTGTCCTTATCTACAAACTGGAGGTCCCTGTGACGCGTGCTCCCAGGACTTGGGGGACACAGTTGTGAATATTGCTTTGTTTTCTTCCTTTGTAAGCTCTGGTCTCTGCACCTTTGTGTGGAAAGGACAGAGCGCAATAATCCGGTGCCCAACGCGCGGAAGCTCCGCAGGTAGAGTGATCCGGCGCACTCCAGTCTGGAAGTCCGCCTCGAGATTTTCCTCTGGCCTTTACCCTTTCCTTCACCACCGGCCTCCCGGGGGCTGGAGACGGGGCTCAAGCCTAGCCCTTACTCAGGGCTTTTAAAATGCAAATTTACTCCCTGCAGTCCCCACACCTCAGGGTAAACTGCTTTTATTGGAGTTTTTCTTTCAGCTGAAGGGGCTGGAAGCCGGGGAGCAGCTTACTCTGTGCCCTACAAAGACAGTGAGACCCTCGAAAGCAGGGGTCCTCCGGTGTGGAGTCCACCTGGCATTCCGGACTTTACAGGCTGCGTCTACAGGATACCTGTGGCTGGAGCGGGGCATTACGACTCTCCCTGTGAGTCCTGGGGTGCAGCTGGAGACCAAACAGAAATGGCCGTCAAAGATCAAGGTGACACTGTCAGCGTCCCCCACTGTGGGGCTGGTTTTATGTCAACTCGACACAAGCTGGAGTCATCCGAGAGGAAGGAACCTCAATTGAGAAAATGTCTCCCTAAGATCGGTCTGTACACAAACCTGTAAGGCATTTTCTTTATTAATGGTTGATACGGGAGGGCTCAGCTCACTGTGGGTGGTGCCACCCGTGGGCTGGGGCTCCTGTGTTCTTTAAGAAAGCAGACTGAGCAAGCCAAGGGAACAAGCCAGTGAGCAGCACCCCCTCCATGGTTCTGCATCATCTCCTACCTCCTGGTTCCTGCCCCGTTTGCGTTCCTGTCCTGACTTCCCTTGATGATGAATATGATGATGATATGAGGAAGAGGGGGTCAAATAAACCCTTTTCTGCCGAAGTAGCCTTGGTCATGGTTTTCCATCACAGCAACAGTAGCCTAAGATCGACATCACCTCTGCTCTGTGGGGCTGTCATGTGCACCTGCTGTTTCTACTCTGTAGGACGATGATTAACCACTTAAAAAAGAAAAATGAATGAGGAAACAGAAGCCCAGAATGTATGTATGGCAAAACAGGCAGAGTCCACAGGCCGAGTTCTCCACGGCTTAGCTACAGAACTGTGTCCGTCTTCATCCAAAGATGCATCTCTTCATCTGTTCAAGTTCCCTTGGGTTTATCCAAGGACAGACGTCAGAGGGCCGAACTTCAGATTGTTTCATTGATTATAGTGGAAGAAATTCACAATATTCTCAGCAGTTGGGAGGCTGAAGCAGGACTGCATATTCAAGGCCACTCTGGGCTATAACAGAAAAAATCAAATGAGGAATGATGCTGGTGTATAATCTCAGCATTCGAGGGGTGGAGGCAGGAGGATTAGGAAGAAGCTTACGGCCAGCCTGGGCTACACAGTTTGAGTCTGAGGCTAGCCTCAGCTACAGGAGAACATGTCTCAAACAAATCAAACAACAGACAGTTATTCAATCAAATTAACAACCAATCAAATAAACAAACAAACAATTATCACTTTGAAGCTGAGGGAAAGACTGGTGAGATGAGATCTTTGGACACCCAGGGTGTCTGCTTACATTCCCAGAACGCGCCAGATAACCACAAAGTCAGATTTGGGGTCGGGGCTGGGCCTATGCTGTGGCTTTCCCAGAGATTGATCCCACCCCCATATCCAGTGTTCACACCCATATCAAGATTTATTGAATGCCTCCTAAGTAGATTAGGACCAGGGCTGGAATAAAAAATGGAAAGGGTCGGTCCTTGTCCTCAGAGAGTTTGTTCTCGACCCTAGAGATAAAATTTATCAGGTCTCAGTGTCGCTGGTGGGTGTGTAGCGAGTGGAATCCACAAAGCGTGGCTAACTAGTGCTCCTCCGGGCCGGGCAGGGAGGGCGAGCATGAGCAGCAGGCGGGCGGGTGGGGCGGAGCAGTCGCAGAGGTGGGAATGGCCGCTTGCTGAGCTTTGGGGACAGTGTAAAGAGATAACAGCCCGGGGTAATTAGGAGCTCTCCCTAGTCTGCCAGTCAGGACTCTAGTTCCTAGTGTCCACCCCCTTCTGCCCCAGGCTCTACCTCAGCCGGTCTGAATCAGAGTTCCAAATGCTGGGTAGACTTGGGAATTTCCCATGAAATTGGACAGGAGCCTGCAGGGAGAACGGAGAAAGTGAGGTAGACGATTTGTGGAGAAACTTCATCTACATAACAAGGAGAAGGAGAAAGCAGGGAGGGATGTCCTGGGGTGATTCGGAGTTTGGGCTCCGGAAAGATCACGTAGCCTGTGTTTAGTTACCCCAGTAGCCAAAAGGAGAATTGTGGCCATCTATAACTTCTACATCAAATCTTTATACACACACATTCTCTCTCTCTCTCTCTCTCTCTCTCTCTCTCTCTCTCTCTCTCTCTCCCCCCCCTCCAGGCACCCACATGCACCTGCGCACACACGCAAGCGCGCGCGCGCACACACACACACACACACACACACACACACACACCACTAAAGGGGAAAGAAACCACACAGTAGTTGGTGGGAGGGAGCAAGATTGTTTAGGGTGTCACTGGGAGTCCCCTTCTCTTCCTCAGGTGGCATTTATGTAACAAAGAGCCTCAGACTGCCTGGGCTGCCTACAAGGTCCACACACAGCCTGGCGTTTGGGAAGGACCACTTAGTTCTCCACCCCCAGCTCCCTCTGGTGACTCGGAAGCTGGGCTGTTACAGAACAAAGGTCTACAGATGGCCTTTCCACGGAGACTGACAGGAACAATCCAGTCAGAGAGATGGCTGGAAGCACTTTGCCCAGGCCTCTGTGACCCCTCTTCCTGCACCGTTGAAGCTGAGGATTCCGGTCCCAAACACACAAAACCGGGGATGAGAGGCTGGCGCACCAAGGAGCCCTGCAGCCTGAAGGTATCATTGCCAGTGCTCAGCCAGGATTCCTCATAGCTTTGCCTAGCAGGAGGGCTGGGGGTTGACTGAGGGGGATGGAGAGGCCCCAGGGAGGGGTGGGGGTGGGGGAGTGGGGTGGACGCTGGAGTCTCTCCAGACACCTCTAAAGGCATGGAGTCTCCTGCTAGAGATGGGGTTAGAACCCAAAAGGCTCTCAGGCCTCATGATGGGAGTTCCCGAGCAAAGGGTTGGGCTGGGCTGGGCTGGCCTGGGTTGGGCAACACCAGGGATACTGCACTGAAGAAAGGTTTGTGGGGGCAGCTGGTACTCCTGGCTTTCTGGAGACCGCTCCTGAGGCCAGATCTAACATTTCCATCTGCAGAACGGAAGTGGTGAAACCACCGGGGACGTAGAGAGTGCAGGAGGAAGGATGTTCACCTCACAGTGCAGCTCCGTCAGAGCGAGCCCCAGCAGGAGGACCGGAGCCCAGATGCAGCACGGGCCTCTAGGATGTCACCCCTTCTTGATTCTTCATTTGCTCTTATGCTACATTATAACTCAGCCCAGCTGCCGGGGTCTGAGTTCAAATTCAGACCTCACCTCTAGGAATCAGCTTGAGTTGGCCACCCTGCATGCGCCATCCTGCCCGATGTCCTCCACCGCACTTTTAATGACTGCTCTTTAAACAATTGACGTAAAAGTGCCGGCCGTGTGGCACACACATTTAATCCTAGTACTTGGAGGGCAGAGGCCAGTAGATTTCTGTGAATTTAAAGTCAGCCTGATCTACACAGAGAGTTCCAGGCCAGCCAGGGTTACATAGTGAGACCCTGGCTCAGAAATAAAATAAAATAAAATAAAATAAAATAAAATAAAATAAAATAATAAAATAAAGAGCTGGGGCAGTGGAGGCGCATGCCCTGAATCCCAGCCCTCGGGAGGCAGGGGCACATGAATTTGAGTTTGAGGCCAGCCTGGCCTACAGAGCGAATTCCAGGACAGGCTCCAAAAAGCTAGACAGAGAAACCCTGTGTGGAAAAACCAAAAGAATAAAATAAAGTAAAATAAATAATAATAGACAGGCATGAAATGCTTCATAAATGAACCACGTTGAAGAGAGGCCTCAGTGGCACTGAGTCCAGTCCCACTGACTCTCTCATGGTCCAGATGTATTCATCAGCCTTAAAGGAAACACTGTCCCAGAGACTCCTCTACCAGCGCTCCTGGGCCCCTGCTCTGACCTACATACTGATCAGCGGAGTTAGCTGTTGTTGTTGTTGTTGTTGCTGCTGTGTATTTCACTCTCAAGAAACTCAAATGTCTACGAAGCTGAGGATCTTGAACTTCTGATTTCCCCGCCGCTTCCTCCAGAGCGCCAGAATTGAAGACGTGTCCCACAATAGCTGACTTACAGTGGCTCTAGGATCAAACCATGCTATCTGGGGAAAACTTCAGCCAACCAAGTAACATCCCTGACCCCAGGTTAGGCTTCTCTGATACTTCATATAAAGGCGGTTTTGTGAGTGATTATTCCTCTTAGCCCGATGTCTCCAGCACCTTTCCTGTTCAGGATGCTGAAGCTGAGGAGACAGGGTGATCGGGAAAGAGTACCATGGTGACAAGGCTCTGGAGAGGTGGGAGCGGGGTGTAAGAGCAAGCAGAGAAGAGGGGAGAAACAAGGCAAGTGTGCAAGAGCAAAGGGTACCCCTGTCACAGGGACAGGCACAAGGCTGGGCAGCGTTGGTTGAATCGGCCTGAAAGATGAAGGGATGAGGTCGAGGAGAGTGGGGATGCAGAGGAGACAGCAGAGAGCCAAGCAAGACTTTGTCTTCATGCCTGGCTGCAGTGACCTCCAAAATCCACACACTGGGGGCTCAGCAGTGAAGAGAACTTGCTGTCCTTGCGGAGAACCCAGGTTCAGCTCCCGGCACCCCTAGGATGCGCAAGGGATCCAACACCCTCTTCTGATCTCTGCAGGCGCTGCACTGCACATACATGAAGGTCTACACTCATACACAAACATTCCACATGTTCGGCACTTGGGAGGCAGAGGCAGGCGGACATCTGTGAGTTCGAGGCCAGCCAGGTCTACAAGAGCTAGTTCCAGGACAGGCGCCAAAGTTACAGAAAAACCCTATCTCAAAACAAAACAAAACAAAACAAACAAATAAAAACCATTCCACATGTTGCCATCGACTACCCAGTGTGCCCATGTTAAGAACTGGGATGACAGATCCCAAGAGTCGAGTCCTGGTGACCAGCAGGGGACTGGTTTGCCTCTTGGCTGTGTGGGGACAGGTGGAGAAACTGTGCTTCCCAGATGCTGCAACTACAACACCTTGATCATAAGCTTCTATGTTTCCGTTGTTCACAACTCATCCAGACTCGAGGATTCCGTCACAGCAGCCGGGAAAGAATAACATACTCCTTGACAGCACCGGAATTCTGCAGCGGCTTCGGTTGTTCAGCAAATGCTTTTCTTACTGCACTAAACAGGAAACAGGACAGGTGGGGAAGGCAAAAAGAAGAGATGGGTCCCGGAGGGCAGAGCAGGAAAGAGGCAGAACCCTTGGTGAGAGGAGAAGGCAAAGAGAGCAGGGGCAAAGCACATGCTCAGACAGGACCGGCCACAGAGGGAAATGGAAGCTGGGGCATACCTTTGATGAACCTGAGTGGGCTGGGATCTGACAAGCATCGACAGGCTCAGCCTTTCGGTTAAAAAGCTCTGGTCTGTCAGTGCTTTCAGTTCTAAAGTAGGCTCTTTCTCCTCCTTGTATCCTGGGATCCTGAGATTGTGACCCCCTCTCCCCACACCCCATAGTTGCCTGTGGGCTCCCCATTGGCTTCAGGGCGGCTACAAAGTTGAGGTGCCATCATGGGGGTTTCCCCTACAGAAGAGTGCAAGGAAACAGGTGATGTCTCCAGTAGGCACTGGAGATCCCCAGCACAGGGATCCTCTGAAGTGGGCTGAAGAGTGTCCTCCAAGTCGTCCCTACCCAGAGTATGGTTTGCTTTCAAAATGATGACTTTCAGCCATCTTTACATAGTGATCTTAACACTGAATCCAAGGCTGAGTGTGAGGGCATTTGCCTTTAATCCCAGCTTAAGCTCAGCCTGGTCTACATACCAAGTCCGTGGCCAGTCAGGGCTATGCAGTGAGACCCTGCCTCAAAAAAGAAAACAATTAAAAACCAAACAAATAATAATAATAATAAACTCCAAAAAATAAAAAAAAACCTACAACAACAACAAAATCAAACTCAGTCACTGTGGTTTTGGGGTGCTCTGAATCTAAGGGAGAAAATAGAGATGAAGGTTGAGCTAGCCCAGGAGGCAGAGGTCACCAGTGCTGCCTGAAGTGAAGGACTTACAGAGACGTGGCAGCCACCGGGGCTGCACGAAGCCATCCAGAACTAGAGAGACCAACTTCACCCCTTGGTGCTTTAACGCACGTGGTTTCTCTGCTGCTGTCACAGCGCTTAGAAGCCTAGGCCAGGCTGAGAGAGCTCCCTGTGTGACTCTGGCTGGCTTTGGGACTCAGCAGCTGGAGGTTGACAGCACAGACAAAAGCTCAGTAGGAGTGCTGTAGGCAAAGGCTTCCAACTTCACACTGTTGGTGAGGGGAGGCTGAATGCCTGTGTGTATATGCACAGGGCAGGATGCTGGAGATGGAAGAGTCCACAGGTTCAAATTCAGGACCCAAGTAAGATGAGGAGGCATGGAGTCAACCACTGGTCCACAGGTAGAGCAGACACCATCGCAGGCTGCGCTGGGTGCAGGTTTTAGGACTATAGGATGACAATGAGTCTTCCTGGACATTTGGGTTAAAGAAGCCTATTGTCCCCTTGCCACTTCTTATCCATAAGTTTACTGTTCTAGTAAAATGACATCTATTGAATATCTTAAGCTGGGATCCTCTGATGGGTCCTGGGTGTCTAAAGAGAAATTTTATAGTGAAAGCTGCAGAGAAGATATGTTCGTACATGCAAACACATGCACATACACAGGCACCCACACATGCACACATGCATGCAAATGCACAGAGATAATGTGATACTATCAGCCCCTTTTAGTGACACCTCACCATTATCTGACTGTGTGAAATGTTTTACTGACATAAACATCTATATTAATTCTGCCTACCTAAGAGCATGGAAGGTCTTTCCACTTTCTGGTGTCTTCTTCAATTTCTTTCTTCAAAGACTTAAAGTTCTTGTCATACAAGTCTTCCACTTGTTTGGTTAGAGCTACTCTGAGATATTATGCTATTTGTGGCTATTGTGAAGGGTGTTGATTCTCTGATTTCTTCCTCATCTGTGTACAGGAGGGTTACTGATTTTTTTGAGTTAATCTTGTATCCTGCTACATTACTGAAAGTGTTTATGAGTTGTAGAAGTTCCTTGGTAGAATTTTTGGGATCACTTATGTAAACTATCATATCATCAGCAAACAGTGAGAGTTTGACTTCTTCTTTTCCAATTTGTACCCCTTGATCTCCTTTTGGTGTCTTATTGCTCTAACTAGGACCTCAAGAACTATATTGAATAGGTCTGGAGAGAGTGGACAACCTTGTCGACATAAATAAACATCTAAGCAGCTATTTATTGGGGCTCTACCACATGCCCAACCCCATTCTAGCACTGGGGAATCCTACAGAGAACAAAACAGTTGAAAATATAGGTCCCTGTAGCCTCCCTGTCCAATCCATCCCCCCATCCCGAGACAGAGTCTATCTGGATTTTCAGTGGTAGATAATATAGGTAAAGAAGGTTTAGGACAGGGACAGGGGTTCAGTTGAGAATCCATCCTCCCACCCAGCATGCACGAAGGCCAGGGTCCCATCTCCAGCACCTCAGAAACCAGGCATTGTAGTGTACAGCTGTGATCCCAGCATTCAAGAGGTGCAGGCAGGAGAATCACGGGTTCAAGGTTATCCTCAGCTAGGGACTTCAAAGGCAGCCTGGGATACAGGGACCCTGCCTTTAAAAGTGGGGGAAGGAGGAGGGAGGAGGGAGAAGAAGAATAGAATTGAGATTCAGAGACTGGATGTGACCTACTCGGGGACACACAACTTATGTCAAGGCTGGGATGGGGACCCAGGCATGTACAACTCTAAATCTCGGGCTCTGGATCAATGTGTCATTCGGCCTTCCACTAAAGCAAAAAGGAAGTGGTTCGGGTAGATTGGGAGGAGATAGAGAAATGCCACCCTGAAGTGTGTGGGGGCACTTTCCAGGGGATCTATTAATGTGTTCAGAGGGGTGTCAGAGCCTAGGTTAGGACTCAAGACCTTTGACCCCACTTGCTTTCCTAAGGGAGGCAATGGTAGGGACACTCCAGGTGACATAGGAGACTTTTGACGCGTCCTGGCAGTGAGGTGATACCTCTGGAGCCAGTCTCCTGCCTTCTGCCACGGTCATTACCACTGCCTGTTAATTCGAGGGATTCAGACTTTCAGTTTCCTGGCTGAGAGAATGTTCTAGATGGTGGTGTGTGTGGCTGACTGTACTAACAAGGCTGTGGGATAAATGGCCCTTGTATGTTGCCTTGTGGGTAAGCAAAGCTTCATGCTGGGCGCAAGGGCGAGATAGTTGGGGTGTGGTGGGGGTGACCTGCAGGCTAACTTCAGATCTTGGAACCTTCCATTTGTCATTGACAGAGTCTGACTAATAATGTTTACTTAACTTCTTTGGTGTTTGGAGCTGTTTAAGCAAAAATATTTGGCATACAAAATGCTTGCTGAATTCTGTTTTGGCTCCTCTCTGGGCTAGCACCCCAATGTCCCTCCTGGGAGTCATGGCGTTTCCTCCACTCCAAGACATATTCCCTGGGATTTGGGTCATATTAAATATATCCTGCAGGGCTGGCAAGATGGCTCAGTGGAAAATGGCACTTGCCCTGGCACTCGGAATTTATCTTAGGATCTACATAAAGGTGGAAAGAGAGAAGTGACTTTATGGAATGTCCCCTGACCGCCACATGTGCTGTGACGCAGATGCCAAAATCATCATCATCATCATCATCATCATCATCATTTTAAAACATCTCCTGCTTCAGCTGTGCCATGTGCTCAGGGCTGGTCAATCAGGACAAGGTGATCAAGGGCTGTGCTCTCACTATGTGATGCCCCTGCCACACTGGGACCAGCACAGGACCCTCACCAGATACAATATCACCATCTTGTACTTTTTCAGCCCCGAGAACGGAGTTAAATAAACCTCTGTTCTTTGTAAGTGACCCAGATTGCAGCATTCAGTCATAGCCCAGAAAAGAAATAAACACACAGACTGTGACACATGGACACATCGCCACCGGGACTGCCCAGGGTGTCTGTCCTTGTCTCTGTCTTTGTCGTCTGGTCTGGTGTCTCACACAGCTGATTCTAATACGCCATCTCTCTCAGGATGCCCTCTCGGGCAGTGTATTGAAATGGTTTCCTCCCTCCACACTTCTCGCTATAGCTTCCCCGCCTCCTTCTCCTCTTTTTGAGACAGGGTATCAAGTGGTCCAGGCTGGCCTTGAACTCACAAGGTAATCCAGGAATGACCTGGAATCTCCGACGCTACCACACCCTGTCTGAAGTACTGGGACGACCGCTGTGCGGCACCGCGCCTGGTTTATGTTATAATAGGCATCGTGCACGCTGGGAAAGGCCATTCACCGACCCAGCCTCATTCTCAGCCTGCGGGTTTCTACGGCGATCCTAACCCACGTGACACTACACGCTCTCGTGCTGGTGGGTGTTTGTATGCCTGCTGAAGTTTGGAGGGAGGAGCGCTACTGACCCACGCATTTTTCATCCATCTTTGTCAGCGCTGAGCACACAGTAGGTGTTCAGTGCACTTTTGGTGAAAGAGTGGAAGGAAGCCTTGTGTGCCCAGGTGAGGGAGATGGGGGAAGCAGCTTTCTGGCAGTGAGAACCACGGCCAAGCTGGAGGTCCCGCGGTGGAGCACTGACCTCATCGCCCTGGTTCCCAGCCTGAGGCTCATCCAGAGGCTGCGGGGCGCAGAGGGAACTGTATGTACCAGTATTTTCACAGCTTCTCAGACTTCCGAACCAGCTGCCTTCCCAAGAAAACACAACACCCAGAGTTTTTCCCCACTCCTGTGAAGGCAGCCAACATCCCAAGGAACAGGCCCTTTGTTTACAATAATAAACCATGGCCCATGGCAACGCGCCGTGACATCATGGGAGTGTGAGGTCACAGACCCTTCCAGGGAAAGAGCGGGACCAAGCAGACACAATGCATTCGGAACCTCTCTGGCCCCAGCAGGGTGAGAGAATATATACATATATATTAATATATATAAATACCAGGTGGTTTCTTTTGTTTTTCTTTTCCTCCCTCTTGTTCATTCCTCACTCGTGAAAAAAAATAAATTTAAATAAATAAAAGTTTTAAAAGCCTCCCAGTGGAAAGCTTTGTCCTGGGAATTTCCTGTTGGCAGCTGTCCAGTGAGCTGGGTATGCCAGCCGTCATGTGGGTAAGTGGGCAGGTCCTGGACCAGAGGGAAGTGCTAGCTAGATCTGCCAGCTTCGGGGGCTGGGCTTCCCCCAGCCTGGGATGCTGGCAAGGAAGATTCCCTGGTCCCACTCTCTGCCCTTTCTCCCCTCCCCCATTTTGCCTCTTCTCTGTCTGAAAGTACATTCTGTTCTTTTTCTCTCTCCTCCTCCTCTCCTCCTCTCTCCCTCCTCCCTCTTCTTCCTCCCTCTTCCCTCCCTCCGTCCCCTCTCATTTTCTATCATTTTCAACTATCTCCCACTGTCTCTATGTCCCCCCCCTCCCCTCGCCCATCCCAGCCCTGCCTCAGCACCCCTTGCTCTTTGATATTTCTTTCCTTCCCTGGGCTCAGGTCACTGAAACACAGGGTTGTGCTAAACTCAAGAGGATGTGCCAGAGAGGCTGTGTCCACAGGCTGCATGGCCGGGGGTCTGAGTTTCCTGGGCAGGACCCCTAAGGGGCAGATGTACATCCATGCAGGATATCTGCACTCAGGAAACACATGGGGTCTGTGACCTAGGAGCCGGGGAGCTTCCTAGCTACCAGGCTTTACCACAGAGAGGGAGGAAGGGGGCCTCCTGGCTCTGAGCACCCCAGAATCCCTGTCCCTTCTATCTCCTTTTCCCAACTTGTATTGTGCCCTGCACCAAACTTCTTGTTTCACCTAAACTGGGCTTTCCTAGTCTCCAATCCAGGCTGAGCTGGACCAGTCTGTTGTGGAGAGCCATCCCAGTGTGTTAGCATGCTTCACAGTCTCGCTGACCCCCGACCATGAGATTGTACAGCAAAGTAGCCCTGTGTGACAACCTCAAATATCTCCAGATGTGGCTGGGGGAGGGTAGCCTCATCCTTGGGGAAAACTATGGGAGAAAACACCTTTATTCTCTGTGGTTGGTTGTCTTTTCCTCTTTCTTCCTAGGGGGCCCACCACCCAGCTCCCAAATAAATACACGGAGACTTATTCTTACTTATGAATGCCTGTCTTAGCGTGGCTTGTTTCTAACCAGTTTTTCTTAATTTAGATTATCCCATCTATCTTTTGCCTCTGGGTTTTTTTTTTTTTAACCTTTCTCTATTCTATATGTCTTTCTTTTCTTCTTACTCTGTTGCTGGCTGGGTGGCTGGCCCCTGGCGTCCTCCTCTCCCTCTCCTTTTTCCGCTCTTCCCTCTTCTCTTCTCTTCTCTTCTCCTTCTATGTATTCTCCTTGCTGGCCAGCCCCATCTTCTCTCTCCTGCCTTGCTATTGGCTATTCTGCTCTTTATTAGGCAAGTCAGATGTTTTAGGCAGGCAAAGTAACACAGCTTCACAGAGTTAAACAAATGCAACATAAAAAAAATGCAACACACCTTTGGATCAGTAAACAAATATTCGGCAGAATAAACAAATGTAATGCACCTTCAACTAATATTCTACAACAGTTCTCCCTCACACAGGATATCCTCTGTGTATCTTATTTTTCTCTGTCTCTAAAATCGCCGTGGCTTCCCACCGCTGTTGCGACAACTAGTGTCGCAGCAGGATGGTCCCAGGGCTTTCTGGGCACAAGGGTGTGTGATTGTGTATGCCAGGCTGATTCCTAGAGCCACCTGCTGCTGTGGGTGAACAACAGAACCCACTCAGGACTAAGCCACACGTCACCCTTTATTGTCACGAGGAGCCTGTGGTCTTCAGGCCCCACGTCTCTCATGCCCCAATACTGTCTGTCTCTTCTCTCTGCTGGACGTACCTTGTATTCCTTTCCGCTAGGTCTGCTCCTCACATCAGACACTGATCAATCTGGTTCTCCAGACACCTTCCATCAAGCCCCACTGCCAAGATCTCATTCTTCTCACTCTGGAGTCATTCATCTGTGATGGAATTTCTGAAACAGAGACAAGAGGCCATAGGATGACCTGTGTGAGTTAGTTCACATTGTCCACCATGTGGGTCCTAGGGATTAAACTGGGGTCACCTTACTCCCCAAACTATCTTGCCAGCCCCCAGGAAGGTTTCTGGAGAACCAGATTGATCAGTGCTACTCACGATAATGGCTTTCAGAATTAATAAGGGACCTCCCCCCGGCCCCCGGGACCCGCTTGTTTTTGCAGACTATGTTTCCGGGGTTCTCAGCTTGCTCAGTGTTACACTGCAGGAAATGCAAACACAGCTTTAGTTCCCCGGGCTAGAAAAGGGGGCCAATTGAGCCAGTGGCGCTCACTTCTGAGGGTGTCCACCCTGCTCTGTGCCTGGTCCAGGCTAACAGAACAGTACTACTGAGAGCTCCCAGGCCCACAGGAAGCCAGGCCGTCACCCCAGTGCCACCCAGCTCCACCCTGCCCTGGACTCACACGGAAAGCAAACCACGCTGGGGAGAACTCAAAGACGAGTGGCCACATGTGACTGCACAGCGCCTTCCCCAATGGCGTCCAGATGGGTGAGCAAGTGTGTGCACATGCTCGTGTGTGCCAGCCCTCGTGTGCCCCACGGGTTGCTCATGACATCACCCAACAGCTCAGCTCTGGTGCCTCAGGCATGTTTCACGTGTGCACATGGCATGCATGAATAGCCACTCTGCATGCGCCTCTCCGAGGTACCACACAGAGCAGGAAGGATTTGGAATTCCAAATCGGGGCAACAGTGGGGTGTGGTACCACAAACCAGGGAGCGTTGGCAGGGGGCAAGTCAGAATTCTTTACGACATCCAAAGTGCCCAGCTTGTGCTTCAAGGGTAAAGACCCCCCACGGTCTAGGATTCTGGAAAACCTACCAGCAACCACTTACCTCCCAGCCCAGCACCTTCCCTGACACTTTCTACTCGCGTGCCCAGATGGTGCCCGAGATACAATCGCCACATACCCCCCTCCACACACACAACACACCCCAAGGCTCTGAGCCATGGAATACATTTCAAGCCACGCTGTAAACTGTGCTTTTGGATGTCATTGAGCCCTCCCGTGCCAATGACATCACGGTTTCCATGGCAACTAATGTAATTACCATGAGGGAAAGTACAAGGAGAAAGAGAAGGCAAAGCAGGAAACACCAGAGTCCAGCCCCAAACAGAGAAAAGGACATGGGGTGCGGAGAGGGGCAGAAAGACCCATAAACTCGTTTCCTGCCACTTGTTAGAATGGCCTCTGCGGTGGCACTCTTCTCCGGGCCGGGCGGGGGTGGGGTGGTTACTGAGCTCCTTGGCACTCTCTGTCTCCTAAAAAATATACAGAAAGGGCTTTGTCACCCTTACAATGACGAAGCTGGACAGGAGGAGCCCGCCTCACGTGAGGCGAGAACACCTCCACCCCCACCTTGGCTCTTGCAGGGTCTAGTGAAGCCAGGGTCTGGGGGGGCTTTCTCGGAGCCCAGCTGGGGACATTCATACCTCACACGGGAACACAGGTGACTGTGAAGTTGAAATGGTTGAATAAGAAGACAGCGTTTTGTCCTTCCGGTCACAACAACGACCTTCGTGCCTGGCTCGGGTGCCAACCCTGTGTGAGCCATGTTGGTTAAGCTCGGTTCTGGGACCTGATTTTTTTAAAGGTACAGAAAGGCCCATGTTTTAGAGGTTGGTGTTATTAGGAGAGAGTGGAACCCTTAAGCACGGGCCCTGGTGGGAGGTCTTCAGGTCAGGATTATGGTCCTCCAGGTTTCTGCTCGCCTCTTCTGCTTGCCGCCATACGCGAACCCGTTCCTCAACCACCATGCCCAAAGCAATGGGACCGTGGGCCAGAACCTCCAACTCTAACCCTTTTCTTTCCAGATGTGTTGTTATAGCGACGGGAAGCTGACTGAGCACCAGGTGCCTCATTCCCATTCAACAGGTCTCAGAAGATGACATCAGATCGTTAGAGTTATAAATGCGGGTGCTCGGAGGAAACCTGGGTCCCCTGCAGGGGCAGCCAGTGCTCTTAACCGCTGAGCCCCCTCCAGGCCCCCTTTCCTTCTTCTGTTTACTTATTTCGAGGCAGGCTATGTAGCCTTGGCTGGCCTGGACTTGCAATGTAGACCAGGTTGGCCTGGATTAAGAGCGTGTGCTACCTACTCTTTCCCCAGCTAACTGCCTTTTTTTTTTTTTTTTCCTGGGAGGGGGGTTTTTTTTTTTTTTTTTTTTTTTACAGCCCAGGCTGACTTTAAACTCACGACACAGCTGACGACGTCCTTGAACACCTGACCCTCCTGCCTCTACCTCCCAAGGGCTCAGAGCCCCTGCAGGTCCCTCCACTCCCAGTGGAATCAGTCCGGTGTACCCCAGGCCAAGGCGCCTTCTGAGCACGAGCGTCCACGCGGAACCATGGCTTCGTTTCCACAGCGAACTTACTGCATAATGGAGACTTAATTGGAGATACCAGAGTTTATGCTACTGGAGCAGCTGATCCGGTGTGTCAGGGACTTCGAAGATGTCTCTGAGAGGGAGACAGTCAGAGCAGCATGGGCAGACCTAGACTGAAGATGGGGGTTGGGGGAGGTGTAGGGAGGCATGTTCCCATTGGAACTGCGAAAGGGGACATGATTCTGCCCTCCCCTTCCTCCCTCTTCCTCCTCTCTTCTGGCCCAGAAAAATCCTTATAGTGAGCCACACTCTCTCCTCCTAGCTCCCACCCCCAGCACACCCCAGTTCTGAAACCTGCGGTTCATTTTCTTCCCATTCTGAAGACTATTTTCTTGTCTGTCTGACTGAATCAAGGCCTTCCCGTGTAGCTCAGGCTGGCCTCCAACTCATGATCTTTGTGGCTCAGCCTCCTGACTGCTGTGATTACAGGCGTGAGCCGCCACAGCCACTGCTGAAGATCACGTTCAGGGGGAAATGAAGCCGTCCACTGGGCACATCTTCCCGGCACAGTGGTTGCTACATAGCTTATTAGCCCTCCTGGGCCTTGTGCCTGGTGCCTCCATGTCCTCCTCTATGAACTCGGGGCAAAAACTTCTCCACCACCCAAGGCTGTGGGGTGAGCCAAGTGAGACATGCCCATGGCACACAGGCAGGCACTGGGTGATGCTAATTATTATTTACCCAGCTTGCACCAGGAGCTATGCCAGAACTTGACACTTATTAAATAGCAAACCATGCAGCAATCCTCCAAGCTAGATCTAATCTCCTTCCTTTCCCAGGTGAGGAAACTGAGGCCGGGGAAAGTGAAGGTGCTTACCCAAGGCCACTGCGGGAGCACTGAAGGGGAGCCAGACAACACTAGGAAGTTGGGGAGGCCACAGTCTTGGGCAGTCTTGTGTTTACAAAACCCATAGCCTTCAGTTCAGTTCACCTGCTCTTCATTCACTTATTAATTTTTTAAATCTATTTATTTATTATGTATACAGTATTCTGTCTTCATGTATGCCTGCAGGCCAGAAGAGATCTTCTTACAGATAGTTGTGAGCCACCATGTGGTTGCTGGGAATTGAACTCAGGACCTTTAGAAGGGCAGGCAGTGCTCTTAGCCACTGAGCCATCTCTCCAGCCCCAGTTATTAAATTTTTAAATTGTGTATGTGTGTGTGTGTGTGTGTGTGTTGGCATACATGCTGTACATGTATGTGGGTACTCTGTCACTTCTTACCGTATTCTCTCAACACAGGATCCCCTCCCTGAATCTGGAGCTAATGTGTCTGTCAGCAGGTCCCAGAGATCTACCTGTCTCTACCTCCAACATGAATGGGGTTTTAGGCCACATCTGGTTCTTTTTATGTGAATGCTGGGGATTTGAACCCAGGCCTTTAGGTTCACACAGGAAGTGCTCTTACCCATTAAGCTATCTGCTAGCTCCATTCAGCAACTCTTCATGGAGGACCTACTATGTGCACAGCAAGAAAATCTCATCCCTGACTTCGCTGTCAAGGAACATCTGTGCACATGCAAGGACCAACTCTCCCTTCGCTGTAGACAGTGAGGGCCCTGTCCACCTCCAGAGTCCGTGGCAGAGTCTGTGGCAAGAGTCTGTGGCAGAATGTGTCACCCTCTTGGAAGGCCCTGGACCTCTCTTTGTACACAGCACTAACAGGTCGATGGCGCATTCACCCCCATTTGCCTTGGGCCTTCCACAGCTCAGTGCTGAACACCCTGCGTTACAACTCTTGGCGCTGGGCAAACCAGAACGGTGGCTCTCCCTGCAGACGGTAACACAACTTAGTAGTCATGGTTCAAGCACACCTAGTACCCTTGACCTGCGTGTTAGGTCCTCTGCCCTCCAGCCAATAGGAGGCCCTGGGAATACACCCATTTGTTAGAGAAGAAGCCGGGCTCCTCTCCCATCAATGACTTAGTCAGGTCAACTAGGGAGCAAGCTGGGACTGGGGCCAGCTGTGTTCTGTGGAGGAACTCTACCCTTGCCTGATGTCTACCATGCTCCCCCATGGACTAGCCATAGCTACTGAATGAAGGAGTTTGAGCTGGGCTTAACATTTCTTTAGCTTCTGGAGGCTTCGTCATTGACCACCCAGGTCCTTTATCATTGATATCACTGGTTCTCTAGTGACTCTGCACACACACCTTCTGCCTTTTCTACGGGCAGTGGGTTGAATCCTATACCAGTCCTTTGCTTTCGAGGGGCAAGGCCTGCTCTTCGGAGCAGTGGGTATGTGCATGAACACACCTTGAGTATAAACGTTATGTTGAGTTGACTCCAGCCTGTTTAATCAGGTTGGTACAGGCTGTTCAGGTGGCCTTGGGCAGAGGCAGAAGGCACCACCTGTCCTGGGAAGTCATTCTCCTGGCCCATGCGTGGCCTAAACTTCCCATACTTGACCTTGATGGATTCCAAGGCAGCACGCGGCCATCTCTTGTGAGCTGTCTCTAAAAGCAAGCTTGCCAGGCCTGGCATCAACCTGACCTGGGGCAGCTGGGATCGTTTTTAACAGTAGTCCTGCCCACATTCCAAAACTGGAACCCAAGAGGCTGGTAAGTTCCTGCTGAACCGGCAGGACCTCATAGCCCCCGCCCTCCATCAGAAATCACTCTGCATTTGCAAGCCCCAAAGGAATAGAATAACACCTCGAATGTCACCAAGTAAAGTTGACCAGCTGTCCATCTTAAACTTAGCTGACTTGAAGCAAATTGTTTCTGCATGGGTGCCTTGCTTCTTCTTTCTCCCCATCCCAGGCAGCATCAGCTCTGTGAGTATTCAGTGGAATGTGCAAGAAACCCTGCCCAAACCCCTTCTCTAGCTGCCTTTCCCTCCAGTGGCAACCCTCTTCACCTCCTCCATCTTCCTGGGTCACTTCCTGGTACCAGGAGACCTGGCGGCCAGGTTCCAAGTGTACTTCATCAGGGCAATTGAGCAGGAGAGTGGGGGAAAGCCTTTGGGGGTAAAAGTCAGACAGACGGTCTTGCAGGAAGCACACCGCATGGAGATGGTACATCTATTAAATGGAAGCGACCTCCACATCCATCTGGGAAGGCTATTTTTTCCCCCAGGGCCAGCTTGTGGAATTGACTTCCCTGACATGGACGACTCTGCCGAACAGGCATGAAATGTGATATCCTTGGTAGAACAGAGGGATTAAATGATGCGTTGACGGAAGGCTAGGAGTAGTCCATGACTTGGCTAATCACTCAGGTTCTGTGTTCCCATAACTCTGCTCTCCTGACAGCACTTCGTACTTATGAAGCCCCTAAGTGCCTGTTTTGTGCCAGATGTGGTGGGTGACATCCAGACATGGCTGCCCATCACCAGATCCCTTGACCTGGGTGGCATTGCTTGACCCTGAAGAGATATGGGCTAATATCCTGTGACAGAAGTAAATCTAGTAACTGGAGCTCCTAAAAGAAGAAGAAGGGGGGAGGTCATTGGTGATCAGAGGTGGAGGGCACGCTCCAGTGGAGCCCCTGCCCATGCCCTGGGCTCTATCCCCAATGCTGTACAAAGTAGGCATGGCGGTGCGTGTTTGCTCCCAGCACCCAGGTGGAGGCAGGGGAGTCGGAAGTTCAGGGTCATCCTCAGCAATATGGTGAATTGAAGGCCATCTTCGGCTATGTGAGCCCATATCTCAAAACCAAAAAGGAATGGGGCAGGAGAGAAGGAGGAGGGGGAGGGAGATTCTAACCAACCACAGATTATGACCCAGCCTCTGCAAAAGCTGGGCACAAGCCTGTAACCCCAGTGCTTGGGAGCTGGAAGCAGGAAGATCAGATCATCCTGTTCAGGGTTATCCTCACTATATAGTGAGTCAGAGGCCAACCTGGGCTACGTAAGACCCTGTCTCAAAATCATAATATCAAGAGCAGGGAGTTGGCTCAGTCAGTCATGAGTCCATTTCATAGTCGGGAAGCCCTGAATTGAGACCCCCTGCCCCCAGAACCTGTGTTAAGTCTAGGCATGGTGTGCGTATCAGAACTCTAGCTAGGTGTCTTGTTCTGTCTCTCTCTGCCTCATCTTTTGAGATGGTCTCTCACTGAACCTGGTTAGCTGGCTGCACAGTGAACTTCAGGGGCCCTCTTGTCTTTGGACCCCATGAGCACAAACATGACCATACACATTAATACAGGCACACATAATAATAACAATAATAGCAATAACAACAACAACAATAATAATAAATAACCCCTTTATGCTCAGCACTTACATCCTCAGAACAAAATGGCCTAAAGGGTGACTTTGATGGGCCAGAGAACATGTAAATCGTTAAAGAAACCAAACTCGCTAGGCAGTGGTGGCGGACTCCTTTAATCCCAGCACGCGCGAGGCAGAGGCAGGCGGATCTCTGTGAGTTCAAGGCCAGCCTGGTCTACGTAGTGAGTTCCAGGACAGCCAGAGCAACACAGAGAAACCCTGTCTCAGAAGAAAAGAAACAGAAACAAAACCCCAAACAACTCTCATTTCCCCGCTTAGAGAAGAGAGCACATATGTCTCAGCTGATTTTTTTTTTTTTTAATTGAAAGGGAAGAGAAAACAAGGAACAATGCATCTTTCTTGGGAAGGGGTAGCAGGCATTTTATTCCCTGTTTGTTTTAAAATAGCCAGGCAGCAGGCATATCCATTCTGCTCTGGGTCAGTCATTCTGGGGACGGAGTCCCAGTCCCGCTTGGAGAAGGTAGTGAGGTCTTGAGTTTTCAGATTCACTACCTCCGTGCATCTCTGGTTCTTGTGGAACCGCTACTGGAGAGAGCCTTGACTGCAGACGGCGTGGAAGCAACATGCAGAAATGCTATTCATAACTAAATATAACTCATCTGAAATGCCTTTTGCCAAGCCCCGGGAGTGTCCACATACATTAAGTCATTAAATAAGCTCTGCAGTAGAAAGCAGGAACGCCCTCCCTCCTCTCTAATGGAGCGACTGAGGTCCTGGGCCCAGGCCGCCCATCGCACCTGCTGGGTTCCCACGAGGCTCTTTGGAAGTCCCAGAAGCCATGAAGGCGCCCTGGGGCAAACAGCAGGGACCAGGTAAACCCGATGTCAGCTGCTGTGACAAACAGGCTTCCAAGGATCTATGACGCAATACACAGGTACTTGTTTTTCCCACACTGGGCAAGACCCCAGATGAGTGGCTCTGCTTACTAGACAGCTTTCCGTGGGTCCAGCCTCCTCCAGCTCACGGACGCGCCCATCTCTCAGCCTCCACCCATTCCGCGTTAGCCTGCACTGGGAACAGGGTTTTATGAGCCAGGCCTGGAAGTGTCCTACAGGCTATTACTTCTATGCACATTCATTGGATAGAAGTGGGTCATGTGGCGACATACCTGCAAAGGAGGCTGGGAAATGTAGTCCAGTCCTGCCGCAACCCAACGAAGGAGGAGTTCCGCAAAGCCCAAGCCAGACTATTTCGTGAGAACCTCAGCTCTCAGCTCCTACCTATTGCTTTAAGCAGGTCAGTTTCGGTTTTATTCAAATTACATATATTGTATAAGAATTAGGCTGAGGTTGTGTTTAAGACACACACATACACACACACACTTGTGTGTCAACAATTAAAGAAAAAGACTCCATGACTATGAAAGAGAGCAATCATCGTGGTAGATTGGAGGGTTTGGAGGAAGGAAAGGGAAGGGGGAAATGAAGTAATTATATTATAATCTCAAAAGAGTAAAAGAAAGAATTAGTCTGAGAGAAGGGCTTGTTTGCTTGCTTCTTGAGGCAGGGTCTCTCTGTAGGCCAGCTGGCCTAGATTTGCTATGTAGACCAGGTTGGCCTCGAACGTCGAGTGCTAGGTTTAAAAGCTGTGCCACCACACCTGGGTTTAATTATTTTTTTTTTCTAAGTGTGTGTGCGCATGTGTGTGTGTTCTCCTTCCCACTTGAGGGTCGCAAGGATCCAGCTCAGGTTGTCCGTCTATACAGTGCACATTCTCACCCAGTGATCACCTCCCTGGTCCCAAAGCAAAGTTCTCAGTCAATGGTCCCAGGACAAACCTGCTCATCTGGTGCCTAGGAGAGGCCTGGGGTCAGGTTCATGGCCCACGCCCTCGGTGACTCTGAAGCGGTCCACACAAGATCTCATGGAGGTGCCTGTAGCTGTGTGTGTGTTATGTCTGTGTTTGTGTGTATATGTGTATTTATGTTGTGGATGTGTGTGGAGTGCACATATATGTGGACAAGAATATGTGCTTGGCGTCACATCTTCCTCCACTGCTCTCCACTGTTTCTTTCGAGCCGGGTATCACTGACCTCACCGATTCGCTGGACTGCATGGTCAGCCAACTCAAGTCCACCAGTTTCTACTTCCCCACTGCTGGGGTCATAATTGTTCATGCCTGACTTTTTATACGGGTTCTGAGATTGGAACTCAGAGCCTCAGGCTAGAATGGCGAACACCTTACTGACAGCTCCCAGCCACACTGGAGCCTTGTGGCCAGCAAAGACATCAGAGGGACAGCCTGGAATTGGGAATGAGGTAGCACAAACCTAACACCCAGCCTCGCCCTGACTGGGGATCTGTGTCATGGTCTGTCTCCTTTGATCATCACCCAGCCTGTAAGACAAGGTGGGGGGCTGGAGAGATGGCTCAGAGGTTAGGAGAACTGACTGCTGCTCCAGAGGTCCTGAGTTCAATTCCCAGCAACCACATGATGGCTCACAACTTCCATCTCATCTATAATGAGATCTGGTGCACAGAACTCTACATATACATAATAAATAAATTTAAAAAAAAGACAAGGTGGGGGTTCACCCTCATTGCTGGGGCTGCAGCTTGGAGCATCCTAGAACACAGAGTCTCTAAGCAGGGACAGGCTGGTGCCATGGAACACAGGGGCCTCTAATTAGGGACAGGCTGGTATCTTCAGCCCAGCACTCTAGCTCTTGGGGAGAGGTATGGGGTGGACAGTGAGAAAGCTGCCCAAGGTCGATGTGTGGGTAGTGATAGAGCACGGAGCCAAGGAGAGGGAGATGTGAGGCAATCAGCAGTTGGTGGGTTGACGTGGTGAGTCCCCCAGGAAGGAGGAAGGAAGCTGCATTAGACCTTGTTGAGAGTAGCAACCTGGTTAGAGGAGCGTGGGGCTCCTGATGCAGCGTGCACAGGTTAAAAGTATTGCGCAGGTCGGAGAAAGTCAAGCCGTGTGTCAGAAGTTCAAGGTCATCCTTAGTCACTTGTTAAATTAGAGGTTAGCCTGGACCACACAAGGCCCTATCTCTAACAAATAAACAAAAACCCAAGGCCTGCAGGATGACTTGGAAGGTAAAGGTGGTTGTGCCAAGCCTGACAACCCACTCACACGAATTGTCCCTCATTTGTTTTCTGACACGTCTGAGCGCAAACCCTGCCTCCCCTGTAAAAAGAAGAATGAATGATTATAATAATTTTTGAAACCCTCGCAATGGCAGGGTGTGGTGGCACGCGCACCTTTGATCCCAGCACCTGGAAGGCAGAGGCATGCAGATTTCTATGGGGTGGGCCAGCCTGGTCTACACAATGAGTTCCGAGACAGCCGGGGCAAATAGTGAGACCCTGTCTCATCAAAACCAAAAACCAAACCAAACCAAAACAAACAAATAAAACCGAAGTAGACACACATACACACAACCCGTGAAGACGGAATCACACAGCACAGTCGGTTTTGACCAGTTTCTCTTGCTTGCACAGTCTCCTCGGGGTTCATCCACGTGGCAACAGGCAGCTGTACCTTACTCTTTGTTATGACCAAGTAATATTCCATCGTTTGACTTCGGGCTGTTTAATTCCTCCATTTATCCACCCATGGGCATCTGAGTTCATGTGTCTTTTGGCTCTTAGGATAACGGCACAACGTTTTATAAGGGACTGTAATTTCACTTCCCTTGGAGTGTTTCCTGTTTTAATTGCTTTTGATTCATTCCTAGTCCTGTTCCATGGAAAATTTTGATTACAAATAGCATTAGACTATAAGACAGCTCAGGGACGGGCAAGATGGCTTAGCGGGTAAAGGTGCTTGCCACCAAGGCTGATGTGTGTGCTCAATCCTGGGTCCACACTGTAGGAGGAGGATCCTCTCTTTGGCCTCTGATCACTTTTATGTGTCATGGCATGCCCTCCTTCCTAAATAAATGAACGTAATAAAAGTTCTTAAAGACTATTAGATAGTTAAGCACGTGTACAGAAGGCTCAGTCTAAGGTGCATACCCTGTCTTCAAGTTTAAGACAGTGTAAAAGGCCCGGCTCCTGTGGTGAGGTCTCTTGCCGGATTAAAAAGGAGCCTCCAGGAAGGAGTGTGTGGTGAGCCGTCTATTTCTTTTGTAAAACGTGTGTGTGCGCACGCGTGTGCACGTGCGTGTGCTTGCACATGCTGGAAGCAGAGGACAACCGTAGGTGTCACTCTCAGCAACAATGTCTGTCTCCTCTGAGACAGTGTCTCTATCATTATCCTGGACCGTATCAGGTAAGCTGAACAGGCTACCAGAGCCTCAGGGATCCTCCGGCCTCGACTTTCCTAAAACTGGGGTTCCATGCACCACACACGGTCTTTTAAACGTCGGTCCTGAGGAATAAACGCAAACCTTTGTCTTCCAAGTCAAGCACTTTATGGACTTTGCCACCCACCCGCCCCCGACTCACCCCACCTCCATCCCGTTTTTGTTGGTCACACAAGAATGGCGCAGAGTTCTCAGTGAGTGACACGGACAGACACGGTATCTTGGAGTCTACGAATCTTGCGCGCGCATGCGCGCGCTCGCGCAGGATTTGCATCTGGGGAAACTGAGGGTGGAGTTCACTGATTGGTTCCTTGAGGGAATTCTAGAAGAGCAGCCGTTGATAAACTACCCTCGTGGGGGTGTGAGTGGGGGGTCACGGACAGGGAGGTGACGGTGGAGGACGTGTTGACGACTTATTATTCTGGTGGCTCTCCTCCCTCCCAGGGGCTGGAAATTAGATGTGCAACCTAACTGTACGCAGTCTCGAGTGACTCACGGACAGGACCCTTGACTGTTGTGAGGATCCCGACCCTGAAGGGGCTCACGGTGCACTGCGCATCATTTTCCACACCAGCTGGGCTTTCAGCCGAGCTGTAAGTCAAAGATTTTGTAAATTGGATCATATTTTAGAGGACAGATAAAAGTGAAAGACTGTGACTCCTCGGGAAGAATCGTGCACGAGGTGATAATCAGGCCAGATTTATGATTTCTGTAAAGACGGGGATCGGAGATAAATGTCAGCCAGGAAGGCATCCGGTGACAATTAATTAAGAGTCTGCTGGAGTCATAGGTGCGAGCCGGGCTTTAAATGGCTTTTCTTGTTATTAAAATTGCACAAAAGCAAAAGCCAACAACACAGTGTTTCCAGGAGAGATGTTATTTCCGCTCCACTTAAGATGTGGGGAAACCGAGGCTCAGGGAGTAAATGAGGGTCACAGTGTTAAGAAGTGGAGCTGAGATTCTATGGACCAGAACGTTAGCGAAGCTTCTGCTCATTCTGGGAGACAATGGTGGTGGTGGGATTGTCAGCCCTACCGTTGGGCATGCAGCTCTGTGCTTAACCTGTCCCCAGGGTGTCAAAGGCATCATGGAACCACCTCTAAACACGGCTGGGGAGCAGGGCTGTGTGGTGGTGCAAGCCTTTAATCCTAGCACTTGGAAGGCAGAGGCAGGCAGATTTCTGAGTTTGAGGCAAGACTGGTCTACAGAGTGAGTTCCAGACAGCTAGGGCTACACAGAAAAACAAAAACAAAACAACAACAATAAAAAGATGGCAGGGGAGATGGCTCAGTTGGTAAAGTACTTGTCTTGAAAACATGAGGATCCAAGTTCAGTTCCCCAGAACCCATTTCTAGGACTCGGGAAGCAAATAAGAGGAAATCCCTGGTGCTTACTAGCAGCCAGCCCAACGGAGAAGCTCCAGGTTTGATGAGAGACCCTGCTTCGAAACACAAGATAAACTGCACAATTGCCTTCTAGCCTGTTTGTGTGCTCTCTCTCTCTCTCTCTCTCTCTCTCTCTCTCTCTCTCTCTTCCTACACACACACGCACACACACACACACACACACACACACCACCCCCGAACTCCCATGAGACTTCTAGGACACTCAGATGAGAAGATGTGAACACACCCAGCACACAGCAGGTACTCAATGCATGTGTCCTGAACAACTTCTGTAAACACCTACAGTATACAGCATGTCCCAAAGCCCGGTAGCACTCTATCACAATCAGATCCTCTAACACAGCCACTCCCTGCAGGGCCTTGGGCTCTGAGCCTTGGTTGTGGACAAAGGGACCTG